TTATGCATGGTATGCTTACAGCAGAAGCATACCTACTCTTCCTCTGCCAGGAGAAGGTATAAGTTGCTTGATAAGGTAATTTAGTTTTATGGCCATTTAATTGATAGCAAGTTTGCTGGATTTTTATGTAGTTTTAAGATAGGTTTGTGCTATTATGCTACCAGTGCGTTCCAGTGAAGAGCTGTGGGATCCATACTCAAAGTTCTCAGAGCACGACATCACCAGAATTTTGGTTTGAGGCAAAAGAGAGACTCTCATCACCAGCGTTAGGCCTGGCCTCCTAGCTGAACTAGAGGACTCAGAGATAATAGGCCTGGATATCATGTCACATGATCCCGGGAAAGTAACCTAACCTCGGGTTTCAATTTCCATTTTAAGAACGTGAGAGTGGCACATCTGTTCAAATACTGTTTGAGGCTGCCAAAGGCTGAGCTTCCAACAAGGAAGATGCCATTGTAAATACCTGCTCTTACCCATGGGTGGGAAACAAGGTTCTGCTGAATGAAGAGCTCGTTAATGCAAGTCCCACATACATAGCCAATTTTCAGGAAATGAGAATTCTTGGCCATAAGCAAAAGCCCATTTTGCCACTTCCTAATTCTGCAGCTTTGGAGGCTCAGCTTCTCGAAGCATCTGTTTCTTCATTTGTCATCTTATAGAGCAGGGGTTGGCAAACATTTCTGTAAAATTCCATATAGCATTTTTTTTGGCTTTGTGGGACCTATGATTTCCATTGCAACTACTCAACTCTGTAGTTCTAGTGGGAAAGCAGCCAGAGGCAATACATACATAAAAAGTCGTGGATATGTTCCAATGAAAAATTATTTATAAATACTGAAATTTGGGTTTCTTATAATTTTCACATGACAAAAATATTACTCTCTTTTTAATTTTTTTTAACCATGTAATAACCATACTTAACTAGGGCCATACAAAAACAGGTGGCAGGTTGAACTTGGCCCTTGGGCCATAGTTTGCCACTCTCTGTAATATACCTTCTGTAAGACTTAAGTGAGGTTATAGTGAGGGCTCAACAGATGTCAGCTAGTATCACCCTTATTACTATTAATTGTTGAAGTGAAATACAAAGTATGATGACAACTATGTATGCTTGCATAGAAATAAATGTGATGTGTTAACAGTTAGGATATTGAGATAGTAAGATCCAGCTTAAGAAGTTTCTTTTTTTAAAAAGAAAGCATAAAATTACATTAGAATTAAGCATAATTTAAATAAAAACACACAACCCTAAAAACTGTTAACAATAATTATATTGACTATAAATTCTATTGATTTTTTTAAGAGAGAGTGGAAGAGAGCGGGAAAGACAGAGAGAAATATGGATGCGAGAGAAACAAATCAATTGGTTGCAACTAAAGTACGTGCGGGGAGAAGCCTGCAACTGAAGATGTGTCCTTGACTGGGATTAAATCCAGGTCCCTTCCGTTCACAGGCCAATACTCTATCCACTGAGCCAAACCGGCTAGGGATTCTATCATCTATCTATGCATTCTATCATCCTTTCACAATTCAGAGGGCTCTTTGGGTGTTCATTATGCCAGGGGATCAATGTTAGGCATTGGTTACCACTGTATGAGACTGTAGACATAAAAACCAAGGCTGCAGAGTTAAATCTATACAGACCTTATGCCACACCTAAGAACCTGCTTTCCCAGTAGATCTACACTCTACTCTTCTTTGCCCACCTTATCTGTGTGTTTATTGCTATAAACACACAGACAAGGCCACAATCTAATGAGCGAGATAGACAAACAAACAAAGAAACAAACATGCCCAATACAGTACCACATACAAGGGAAAAGCAGCAGGAACAGAAAGGACGAGCGTCCAACACAGTCTGGAAGTGGAAGTGGCTGTAGTTGGATTGTTAGAGAGCTTCCTGGAGAGATAGACGGAGATGGAGACAAATCCTGAAGGAGGAGGAGAAGGAAGCCAGAGTGTAAGAAGAATATTCCTGATAAAGGTGCCCCATGGGAAAGGAACGTAAGGCAATGGCTGGAGGTGAGACAGAGCACTGAGGGATGATAGATATGGGAGTGAGTACGGCTGGAGCATAAACGCTAGCAGGACAGTGGGGAGATGGTGCCTGAGAAGTAGACAAAGGTCTGTAGACCCTATGTCAGCGACTTCCTTCTTGTGTGCCACAAGAATGTTTAAAACAAGCAATATCTGACCATTTAATCAGGGCACTGACCTCTTTTCCCCTAGATTGTCAAATAAAAAAATAACAGTTAACACAATAACCATCTGGTGTGAATGAATAAAAATTAAACCTATTTTTTTGGTCAGATCAGCACAAACATATTTTTTTGGTGTGCTGACGAATTTAATAATTAGTTTATGTGTACATGAGATGAAAAAGGTTGAAAGTCACTGCCATATGCCAACCTCATGATTTAGGACTGTATCCTAGTCATTAAATCATCACTTGACTTGTAAGCGGCAGTTATTTCACAGTAAAATGATAAAAACGATGCCCACCTAGTAGGAGTAATGCTGGGGGGCAGAAAGGAGATAGTGTGTTAGGTCCATAGTATACTTCAGGATATACTTTATACTACTGAAACTGATCTATTAAAATTGTTTTGAAATAACTTTCAGATGAAAGGTATATGCTTTTCCATAAAGCACTACCATTTCAAAACAATGTCTGCATTTCATAGCCTCTAAGCCTTCAGAATTTTTGAGCTGACGATGAATTTCATGAAGGAGAATCACCATGCAGTCTAGTCTAAGACCGGGATGAAGACAATGAAATTACGCAGGAGTTAGAGCTGGGGAGGTAGCCTCCTAAAGGGCTCTGCATTGCAAGGCCATGTGGCAGCTCTTCATGTGCTCTTCAAGAAAAAGTGTAGAGGCTAATTCTGAATGTTTTGTTTGAGAGTTCAAATTCCTACTTCAACATGTATCAAAACAATTATCCCTTAAATGTATTTGTTAGTGAGAAATCGATTCTAATGTGTTGATAAAACTATTTTTGGATTTGTGTTGCTTTTAGTTTGTGTTTATACTTCAATAACAAAGAGTGGTCTCTAATTCTTCAAATTTGGCCATGCTCTGATTCTCTATGACTTTCTAATTTGCTTTGAGAGGAAAGAGGTAAATGAAGTATGTAAATAGGGATAACAGTTTAGTCTTTGGATGAGAAAAATTTTTTTTATTAATCATGGAACATGATTTCTTGTCAGATTATAATAAATATTTTCTTGAAAAAAATTGAATTTAAGCTAACAATTATTTAAAAATACATCATTGAAAGAACTCTTATGAACTCTTATACATAAATATTGGAAATAGCAGCCCAAATGGCTAGGATCAGAAGCAAAAGTTACAGAGGTTAACTATTCTCCCAGCTTTACTTCTGTCATGCTAAGATTGCAATTCCTTTGTATTTCTTATCTGTAAAAGAGAGATTGTGCTCGTAATCCACAAATATCCAAGGTTGGAAAGTGTAATTTTATTTATTTGATTTTTAAATTAAATCTTTATTGTTGAAAGTATTATATATGTCCCCTTCTCCCTCCCCCCCCTTTGGTCCCTTCTAGCCCACCCTCACCTTACCCACCTACCCACTCCCCAACCCCGTGCCCCAGGCCTTCATCATCCTAATGTCTGTGTCCAAGGGTTATGCACATACGCATACAAGTTTGGAAAGTAGAATTGTATATAATAAAAGCCTAATATGCTAAGTGTACATTTGTCCAGTTGGCCATTCAACCAATCAAAGCATAATATGCTAATGATATGCTAAGGCTGCTCAACTGCTCACTATGATGTGCACTGACCACCAGGGAGCAGTCGACCAGTCACTATGATGTGCACTGACCACCAGGGGGCAGATGCTTTGACTGGTATAGGTTAGCTTGCTGCTGGGGTCTGGCAGATTGGGACTGAGCGAGATGGGCTGCACATGCCCTGGAGCCCTCCTGTGGTCTTTCCTTGGCTGGCCAACCTCCTGCATCCCTCCCTGGCCTCAGCCTGGCCTGCACCCTTACCATCCAGGGGAATCCAGGCTGAGGGACCCCCCCCCCCCCCCCCGAGTGCATGAATTTTGTTCACCGGATCTCTAGTTTTAAGTAAATGCATTGATACATTCTGAGAGTAGGAAGATTTGGTTTCAGAATTCTAATGTAAATCTATCCCAGTTCTTACGATCTCTGTTCCACAGGACACACTAGCTCCTGTTTCTCAACCACAGGGATTAATTACTACACCACATCCTTCAGTTCTATGAGACTGTTAAGAAAGAAAGGCTGCCATATAAGTTAATTGACCCCTGCACTGAATAATTTGCTTTGTTTTCTTTCCAATGGCAGTCAAATAGAAATGCCATGAAAATATAAAAAATTGATTTATCTCTTTAGGAGACCAAATGCAATATGCAGCAAGAGCCAAAACAATAAAAAGAACTTATTACCCTTTGACCCACTAATTCTACTTCTGGGAAGGAAGCAAACAGAGGCATTATACAGTAGAAAAGAAAAACAATGGAAACAAACTGAAAGTGACCAGAATTATAAACTGACCAAGTATTATGCAGCCATTTATAAGGGCACAAACAATGGTTGTGAAAATACATTATAAAATTTGTATTAAATAACGCTAAATACATTGTATATGTATATGTTGATTGCAAAAGTGCTTAAACTATGAATTTATATAATATTGAAGATGAGAATTCATGAGGCATGTAGGAAGTATCCAGTCTACATTGTATATAGTGTTCTTTTGAGCAGATGATTTTCTGGGGTAGTTTTTGAAACAGTAAAAAATGCTGCTGGGAAAAACGTATCACTTATTTTTTCTCAGTTTCTTTCTCTTTTCTTTTTAAAATATGCCTCCCAAAGATGACCGGAACCTTGTACTTGTCCATTTTCTCTCTTTTTACTTCCAAAAGGAAATGTTTTCTTTCCCCCTGATAAACATGAACCTGTTTATTCAGTAATTGAACTTAAGATATTAGACCTTCAGTTACTCACTCTTTGATGCGCCTATGATGTTCCTTCTGCCGGAACTCATGGCTACTCAGAGAAGACACACTCCCCGCTTTCTTCAATGAACCAGCCGTTCTGTCTTTAGCAAGGTCTGCCATCATCACAACCTATGGAAGAAAACTTCTGTTAAAACAGCAGGCGAAAGATCTGAAACCATTTTAGTCTCACTCAGATATTCATGCTAAATAAAGTACACAGGTACTTTACCATTTTTGAACAGAGAAGTGGGGTTTCTTTAAGAGTGATTTTTAATGTATGATGTTACTCTGGTCAGTTCGACTGGACATATGATAACACTGATAACTTTTATTTATGCAGTAGTATACTTACTCCACATAAGCAGATACTAAACTGCAGCACATTGCTTAACTACTCTTACTTTAAAACTTAAAATTAATTGTCTTCCCCAAAGGGTATTTTTCCCCCCAAGCAACCATGATCGGCTTTGTAAAAAACAAACAGAACTTAACTTTTAACTCAGAATTTATTGGAACACCTACCCCCCCACAAATGCTTGTTTATTTTTATTTTTATTTTTTTAATTTCTTTTATATTTATTAGAGTGGCAATTACTCTGATAAATATTTAATTTCAATCACCCAACCTAAACTTTTTTTAATCTTTGTTTTTTTTTATTGCTTAAAGTATTACAAAGGGTATTACATATGTATCCTTTTTTATTTTCCCCGCCCTTGACAATCCCCTGGCCTCCCCTACCCCCCAGTGACTTATGCCCATTGGTTATGCTTATATGCATGCATACAAGTCCTTCGGTTGATCTCAAATCAACCGACAAATGCTTATTTAAATGCTGGTAGTAGGAACGGACTTTCCGGAACTTAGACGATAACTCTACTGCCCTACTACCTATATACCAAGTTAGATATTCATTTAAATTATTTTATACTCTGTAAACCTGAGAGCCCTAGCAAGGAGACACTGTGCCAGACACTAACACTGGCAGTTGAGTGGCTGGGGCCGACAAGAACATCACCTCAAACCAGTGTGTCAGTGTCAGGACAGAGACAAAATGCACCGAAGGGCACACAAATATGGCAGAGGTGTACTGTGTGTTGGGAAGAGAGGCGGCGGTGTATATGTGTGTGCGACTGTGTGCCTGTGTATGAGGGTGCATTCATGAGTGTGAGCATCTTTGTGTAGGTAAGTACCTGTGAGTGTTTCTCTCTGTGGGCATGTGTCTGTGTGTGAGCTCGAGTCCTTGTGAGTGTGTGAGGCTGCATTAGTGAGAGTGTCTGTGTACCTGAATGTAAGCATTGCCTGTGTGTACCCGTGTGCATCTGTGTGTACATATGTGTGAATGAGTGATTTTCGGGGTGTACCTGAGTGAGTGGCTTTGTGAGTGTGTGTGAACCTTTGTGTGTGATGCATCTACGTACGGAATGTGTGTGTGAGCTGAGTGCGAGCATCTGTGTGTGCGCATGTCTGTGGAGTGTCCGTGTGTGGACAGGGCTCACTGAGACTGAAGAAGTGGCGCATTCAGGTTCCCATCCGAAGGGACACAGACCTGAGTCTGCTCACCTGTTTCCCATGGGAGGGGAGGGGCGTCAGGCCGGCGCAGGAAGACTGCTCAGGACTGGCCAGCTGTGCAGTGGGCATCACCGGAAAGCCCAGATGCGCAGGTGGTCAGGTGACCAAAGACCAGACCCACGTCCAGTTCCCAAATTTGGGGCCACTTTTTCTTATTTGTTTGGGGGAAGAGAAGCAAGGCGTCAGAGAGGTCGTGGCCCAGGCAGGCTATTTCTCACCACAGGGCCTCCTTCCTGGGTCCCTGCAGCGCAGGGCCCTGCGGTTGGTCCGCATTTAGTCCGCTGGTCCCCGCCCGCCCGGGTGCCCCGCGCAG